CAAAAGGAAAAACATTGCATTTCTTTGTGGAAATGTTGTGGAAACAACGTTGATTCAACCAGTTGGTGCCCAGTGGGACAGAACAGTACGATATATTTGGATACTCTGTATCTGTGTATCCACAAGTATTCAAATCCTCCCTATACACATCACAATTAAAACTATTAAAGGTTAAAAAAAAATATATGTTACAATATACTGTTTGTATGCATCTTTAAGTAGTTCCTCTACTTATTACAGTAAACTGTCAGTTAGTTTCATATACTGTAGCTGAATAGATATCAATAAACAACAATAGCCAATAGATATATGTCTTCAATACCAATAGAACACATCAATATTTAGCATCCTTCTTCATGCTACATTAGACTCTATGGGCGCTATGCAACAACCACTCTCTATAGAAAAGTGTAATCAAAGACACATCCTTTAGTGCGATGCAGGGCCGAAAAAAGTTGGTATAAAAGAAATAGAGCCTGCACACTCATAAGCTCCACCACTGCCTTTATTAATAAACACACAAGGTTTCTGTTTGAGCAGAGACCCCAGCTAGCACATTTGGTTCCTTGGAAGTTGTATGTTTTTGGTTTCACATTGGTTGTGGGAATTGAGTCATACGTTTCCTGACAGGTAAACGTTCTGAGAACAAAAGTGAACATTTCGCCTGTTCTGGGAAGGTTTATTTTTAGGTTTTACTCTGGTTCTTTGAAAGCTTTCCTGGGAGGTTTTATTAACGCTTTGAGAACGGAAATATTATAGGTTATTTCTAGTTTTTTTTTAATAACTTCCTTAAAACGTTCACTGAATGTGACTTTTCATACTGGGCAGAAACTGGTTGAATCAATGTTGTTTCCTAGTCATTTCAACAAAAAATGTCTATGTGATAACGTTGAATCAATGTGGAAAACTTTTTTTTCACCAAACTTTTAACCTAAATCCAATGACATTGTGAATTGTTTTGTTGATTTCACTTTGAATTCACGTTAGTTGACAACTCAACCAAATTTAAATCAAAACTAGACGTTGAACTGATGTCTGTGCCCAGTGGGATAATAACACTGCTAGTTTATTTTGGGTTAACTTTTTTGAACTCCAAGCACAGATAGGACACATGGAAATGTATTTCCTTAGGCATTAATCATGCAAACACATTTCGTTTTCATTGTGACACGGCATCAGTGAGATTCAAACCTATAATCTATCCATGGAATTAGTCCACCACACCACCAGGATGGAGCTAGCATGTCATATTTTTTTACGCATACAAATCTGTTCATTTTAGTTTATTCAAACAGACCCCATTTCAATGGAAACAAACACTCATTAAGACCAGGTGTTGCCAATTAGTGGGCACAGCCAACACACTTAACAAGATAGAGGATAGAGATAATTTTGTTGATGCTGAGAATGGAATGTATATGTTATTAAATAACATTCCTAGAACATTCTCTGAACATTACAAAATGTTCTTGTGGTTTCTATGAAAAGTTTTCTTAATGTTCCTCAGAATAATTTGAGAACATGACTTTAAATAGAACCAGGAGGAAACCTGTAGTAAAATGTTATGCGTAAGTACTGAAATTCCCACTGAAGAACGTTGTTTCTTAACGTTCTCTGAAGTTGAACTACTTGAGAACATTCCCAATGTCAAAGCAGTTGGAGAACATTCCTAGAACATAACCAAAATTGAAATGAAATGTAACCATGTTTGAACTTCTAGGAAACATTCTGTTAAAGTAATGAAATACCAAGAAAATAAAGAAATGTTGTCAAGTTCCTTAAAAGTGCTGAGAATGTTCCAAAGCCAAGCAACTATTCCCAGAAAGTTGTGGGAAAGTTGTATGCAAAATAACCATAGGACAACCACCCTCTCAACAAGCTCTAAGAAACATATGGTTCTCAGAACGTTATGTACTAGCTGGGAAAATGCTACATACATAAAAATGGCCTGGCATTAAATCAGTCATCCCTGACTATGGGTGCATAGAAAGGAAAGAGACAGCAAGGGAAAATGTGAAAATAATATAGAAAGTGAAAATATCTGTTATTAGGAAGATGGGTGACTGAAGTGAAGAAGTAAGAGAAAACGGCAAAGGATTTTGAGAGAATATCACAAAATAGGAATCTGCCGGTATGATGTACATTTAGCCAATGTACAAGCAAAATGATGGTTCACAGCAATTCTGCCACGGCCCTAAGGGGAGCTCGACACACACACCTACCGTACGCACACACCTACCGTATGCACACACACCTACCGTACAGACGCACACACTAAAATAACATGCAACAGGTATAATGATTCATCTGTTAGTAATATTTCTTAAAATACACACTGAAATCTTTTCAGTCAATATGCTTGAAACAGACAACACATTAACTCAGCAAAGACGGCCCTATAGCTGGTGCAACAGAGAAAATACTATGACAGATAAGTGTCATAGCTGCATATCTATCTACAGAACTGCTAGGGGGGGGGGGGGGTATAACCAATCGGGGTGGTACAATTGTTCCCTTGTGTTCATGAAACCATTGGCCAATCTTCTCTCTCTTTGTTGGCTGTGTTTGGACCCTAAGGGACCAGGGTGCCCTAGGGCAGTGAGTTCTTCTCTGAAGGCCCAAGCACTGCAGACAAAACAAGCACTGGCTTCAGCCAACATGTCCCTTTCGTGACACTTTTTAGGGCCAAAGGCACACAGTTGGTAGCTGAAAATGTGCCAGCAATAAGGGCACCACCAGCTTCTTCTAATAACCAAACCAGCAGGAGCTGGGGGTATGAAGTGTGACCTGGAGGGAGCGTGTGTATGTGGTGTGTCCTCCCGAGTGGCGCAGTGGTCTAAGGCACTGCATCGCAGTGCTAGCTGTGCCACTAGAGATCCTGGTTCGAATCCAGGCTCTGTCGTAGCCGGCCGCGACCGGGAGACCCATGGGGCGGCGCACAATTGGCCCAGGGTAGGGGAGGGAATGGCCGGCAGGGATGTAGCTCAGTTGGTAGAGCATGGCATTTGCAACGCCAGGGTTGTGGGTTCGATTCCAGTATGAAAAATAAATAAAAATGTATGCACTCGCTAACTGTAAGTCGCTCTGGATAAGAGCGTCTGCTAAATGACGTGAGTGTGTTCAGGGTAACATAAACAGTGAAGGAGGAACCCTGTGAGATGACAGAGGGTACACACACACAGAGAGAGAAACACATACGCACACATACAGATCTAAGAAAAACATTCCCATTAGACCGCAGTAAACGACCAGAATTTTGAGTGATCAGAATGACTGTGGTAAAATACTAGAGCAGGATCTCCCTCACATGCTGACCAAACCGGCCACGTTGCGTGTGCGAGTGTTGCAAAATAAATGTCCACATACATGTTATTCAAATCATTTCATCCAAACTGCTCACGCACGTCATCTGCATAACCAGGCGCTAAAATATAACTTGGTTCTATTTGGCGCTGCAAGTCATGCCTCTCCCATCTACTCGTTGGTTTTTAGGAGCATACTAACCCACGTGAGTGATTGAAAGATGAACAAGGTCCACACTCCAGCCAAGTTGGTGGCGGTAATGCGCATTAATGTCGGTTGCCAACCGCCATATAAAATCAGAAGAAGAATGAATGAGGAGAGATTAATCAAAGAAAACTAACTAAAAACTAAATAGGTTTCCCTTTTATCTGTGGATTAATTGTCAGAGTAGAGAACACATGATTTTGTGTGACTCAAAATGGGTCAAAATTCTACAAAGATCCAGCAAAAAAAGGACCATCTGCATTTCAGGTAAAATAGCAACCCAATGTTTAAATTAGTTAGCAACAGCAAGCTAGGTAAATGTCCATTAATTTTTCATGTGTGTTTCGACCTGTCCCCAAATTAATATAGTTGGTTCAGTTGGTTTTGGTATTTTAACCTACGTGTCATGAACGCGTCCGGTGGGGATAGACAAAAATCTACATACGCACAATGGCGGTTTGTCTTTTGACAGCATGTCTTTTCACTTTTTTCAGTCTCTATCAAAAGGCTACTGCTATTGTTTTGAAGTAGTTATCCCTCCCCTGCACTCTCTCCATCTTGCGTTATCTCTCTCTTTCATACTCTCTTGCTCTCTTTCTCTCTTCTTATCACATGGCAGACATTCAGGGCAATTTTCATAGGCTCATAGACAAAGGAGAGAGGATGTATTCTGATAAGAGTGTGGTGTGCAGAAGTACAAAAGGCAGTTTGGCTGTCTTGAGTGAAATGGAAGAGACTAAAATCAGTAAAAAGGGGGGTGGATGTGCTCCTGACTGAGCACCTAAATACATGAGAACAGACAGCAATAGAGTGGACACTACCTCCCCCATAACGAGTCGAGATGTGCAAACTTCTTCACTAAAACAACTACCTTCTCAGAGATAAATAAAAGAATGGTGATAAAATAGTGGCAAAGACAATACTCCACAGGAAAGCACACCCATTTGAATTTGCAATATTGGACCACATTATACTGTAAATGGGGTGGAGGGGGAGGGGGCAGCCAATGACCGGGGGACAGAATGAAGAAGTGCTATTATTGTAGCAGGTCATGACAATTCACACTCATCTGTAGGTTATATAGTATGAATGCTCTAACCTAATACACACGCACGCACACACAAACCTTGACATGGTGATCTGTATGGTCATCTGTACCAAAATCCTAGGCAGTGAGGTGGGAGAGTTGTAGTGCACTACTCTCTAGTAACTAGGATGTATCTACGAGAACTGTAGGGCAGTAGTTGGGGGCTAAAGGTAGTGCACTTGTCTCCATGGTAACTAGGGTCTTTGCCTGTCCCACTAGCCATGGGGCAGGCTGGTGGTAGTACACTAGTTTCCATGGTAACAAGGGTGTGTGAATGCGACGCTACAACCAAAGCAGGGGTTTGGGGGGTAACTGTCTCTGGAATATGTCCATGACAAAAACAAGGGGGATTGGCTGCCCCGTTCACATCTTCTTGATCACATGACGCGACCTCGCTCTCTCCTCTTCATGCCCTCTTCCTCGCCGTCTTCACATCCTGGCACTCGACGGCGGAGAGCGCGATCAGCATCTGTGCGGCGTAGTAGGTGGCCATGATGATGGCGCGTGAGTGCGGCACAGGGAAGCAGAACTTGTTAACGGCAATAGTGAGGTCGGAGACCATGAAGAGCACAGCGCCCAGGCATGCCGACATCTTGGTCCAGGTCCACAGATCATTGGCCAACTGCAGGCCGGCCACGGCCCGCCAGCCCATGAAGCCGATCAGGGCGATGTAGACCCCCACCAGGTAGGTGAAGGGGCCTGAGAGGTAGGGGTAGAGCAGGGCGTAGCTCACGGCCGATATGGCGCCGATCACCAGGCCGGCAAGCGGGTTCAGGGGCTTCATACCGAAGGCCGAGGAGTAGAGGATGTGGGAGATGGCGAACATCAGCAGACCTGTGGGATACAGCAAATAGTATATATATAAAACGTACTGTTATATTGCCTTTTTTGTTATAAAATCTGAGCTTGGAGGTCTGGAGTACTGCTGGTTTTCTGTTATACCTGACAATTAATAGCAGCCACCTGGTGTCCAAGGTCTAAATCAGTCTTTGATTAGAGGGAAATAATGTAGATCAGGCTTTGAGGTCCAGATTAGAATTAGCCTAATATAGTATTTATGCTATATACACACACACACACACACACACACACATACACACATTTAGGTACACACAGGAGGGAGGGAAATGATAAATAGGGAAGACATTAAGCATGGGGCGCACCTAAATTGTCTAAAGTACCTTCCTCTCCTCCATCTCTTTTCCTTCGTCTGCGCTGATCTAAACAAACTGGATAGCTGAAAGTAGCATGAGGGAAATGAGACCCTATATCTGCTTCCGAATTGGCACCCTTTTCTCTGTATAATGCACTATTACTAGGGAATAGGGTGCCATTTCAGATGCAGCCCAGTAGAGGAAGCCACCTTCAACTGCTGAAAAGGACCGTAGGCATCAGTGGTCGAGTTCCTGCCTGACTACATTGCAGGCAGGGACGGCTCTAGCCTTTCGGGGGCCCTAAGCGTAATTTGGTTGGAGGGCCCCCCCACCTTATGGCAAAACATTTTAGTCGCCCCCCTCTTCGCAGCGTACAGCAAAATTAGACGATTTATAGTTAATTTCCTGTAATCCTACCAGGGTTTGGGCCTCAATTCTTGAATTTGAATTGAAGTAGTAACATTGCAAAAATCAGAAACCTTTTGTCCAAATTTGATGCAAAAAAGCTAATCGATGCTTTTGTCACTTCAAGATTAGACTACTGCACGCACTCTACTCTACTCTCCGGCTATTCGGATAAGGCACTAAATAAACTTCAGCTAGTGTTAAATAGGGCTGCTAGAATCTTGACTAGAACCAAAAAATGTGATCATATTACCCCAGTGCTAGGATCCTGGCTTCCTGTTAAGGCTAGGGCCTTATCCGGGTAGTAAGGTTTTACTGCTAACCTGCAAAGCATTACATGGACTTGCTCCTACATATTTTCGCCGATTTAGTTCTGCCAAACATACCTACATGTATGCTACGGTCACAAGACGCAGGCCTCCTTATTGTTCCTAGAATTTCTAAGCAAACAGCTGGAGGCAGGGTTTTACATTTACATTTGACATTTTAGTCATTTAGCAGACGCTCTTATCCAGAGCGACTTACAGTTAGTGAGTGCATACATTTTCATACTTTTTTTCATATTGGCCCCCCGTGGGAAACGAACCCACAACCCTGGCATTGCAAGCTCCATGCTCTATCAACTGAGCTACAATTAAAATGCCTCTTCTATTCTATATTAGGTGTAGTTTATACTGATGTACTGTACATCTTGTACATAAAACATATACATGTATATCAAATATTGTTGAAACAATAGATTTTCAGGACAAACTCTTAAAATGAATGATCAAGGAAAACAACCTGTATGCGGTTATATTTCATTAATCACTAACATTTTGTTGAATATGGGGAACTTACTACATTTCCCAGAATGCAAGTTGACCCTGAGGCCTTCAAAAAGAACCCAAACAAATGAAATGGTTGGTGGAAATATTATTGGCTATTTTAAGCACCAAGGTTAAAAGGTCCAGTGCAGCCGTTTTTATCTCAATATCAAATCATTTCTGGGTAACAATTAAGTAACTTAAATTAAAATGGCTAAAAAGAAACAAGCAAAGAGCAATTTCTCAAGCAAGCAAGCTGTTATTGGCAGAGGGGTTTGGAACTCTTTCTTATTGGTCTATTAACTAATTTACCGCAAGGGACCATTACCCTTTACAGACAGACTTTACGGTATGTTGCCTGTAAAACATAAAAATCGGGCAATGTTTTTTTGTTTTTTTTATTCATACAGTCCTATTAAAAATAGGACTATATGAATAAAAACAACAAAAAAAAGGCAGATACATTTGATCATATCTAATTTACCTAACAAAATAATCCTCATTAAAATCCATCAATTTAAGCTAGAGATATTTTTTTGCATGGGCTGCATCTCATTCCACTGCATCTGCGGTGGAAAGTGGCAGAGCTACAGCGCTGTTTGTCAGACCAGGAGACATCTGGAAAATCGGTCTTCTCACGAAAACGTCTGTAGCGTCCGAAGGGTTTGGCCTACTAACTAATATGACCATTTTCCTCTACAAGCCCCACAGGACTCGGTACCGCCAATGTGCCACCTTCTGTCTGTAGCGTCCAAACCGTTTGGGCCTACAAACTAATATGACCCACTATGGAAAGACGAGACTCTATTTTTCTATACGACCCCCACAGGTGTCACGGGACTCGTCTGCAGGTAACCCGGTACCGGTTTATAAAAACAAATGGAAGTATGGAGGTAGTCTTAGCCTACCCCAAAAAAAGGGGTTAAATATGTGTACCAAAAAATAAAATATTTCCTGAGATTTCTTATATCTCCTAGATATAGGACAGACACTTCAAAACCTTATTCCTTATGATTTATTTTTTGTGTGTCTGTTTTGCCATTTATGAATGTGTGTTATTCAAGGCCAAATACAATATTTTATCAAATTATGTTTACATTTTTGGGGGGGGGATAATTACAGGGGTCCTAAAATTCCAAATCAAATAGCTAAGTGATCAATGGTATGACCATCTTAAAACAATTCTATATATTAGCTTAGTAGAACTCCCCAAGGCTTAGATTTTAGAGGTTAAACAGACAAGGCACACTTAGGCTACCCAGATCACAGTCAACACACATATTTTATTGTAGGCCAAGAATATAATGAAATAGAACAGAGTAAAATACAAATAATATTTTTCCCACACAACTTGCGTCACGTCAACGTGTGGAACCGCTGTCATATAAATAAAAATTAATATTTTGAAACAGAGCCCAAGCCCATGCTTTTGATCCACGTTTCATCTCTTTCCTACCCTCACTCTGGTTTGTTAAGGAGCAGGGGTAGGGTCTTACATTGAGAGTATCTTCATGCTGATACCAATAAAAATTTATAGTAATCTATATTTTCAAAAGCATGCGAGTCTCATGTTCATATTTCACAACCTCCGCAGGCTTTTTGAAGTTGCCTTTAAGCGATCGAGCAAAATCATAGGCCTACACTTGATTTAGGCTACATTATTGCATGCTAAATGTTTCTGATCAGTGATAGATTAGCAAATGAATAGATGAGCTATACCACCTCCACTTAGGCTATTTGTCCAGCCAGATAATTAACCAAATAGACAGAGATTCAGTTAAACAAAATCACATTGATTGAGTTAAGTTAAGTTGCAGGCTTTTGGTCGGGAGTAGGACTAGGCTACTAAGTGACTGCAAGTGAAGAGCAAAAATAATTCACTTGTTAAGCTCCAGTGCCTTCAGAAAGTATTCACACCCCTTGACTTTTTCCACATTTTGTTGCGTTACAGCCTGAAATTAAAATTGATTAAATTGAGATTTTGTGTCACTGGCCTACACACAATACCCCATAACGTCAAAGTGGAATAATGTTTTTGAAATTTTTACAAATTAATAAAAAATCAAAGCTGAAATGTCAATAAGTATTCCACCCCTTTGTTATGGCAAGCCTAAATAAGTTCAGGAGTAAAAATTTGATTAACAATTCACATAAGTTGCATGGACTCACTGTGCAATAATAGTGTTGAACATGATTTTTTTAATGACTACCTTATCTCTGTACCCCACACATACAATTATCTGTAAGGTCCCTCAGTCGAGCAGTGAATTTCAAACACAGATTCAACCACAAAGACCAGGGAGGTTTTCTAATGCCTCGTAAAGAAGGGCACCTATTGGCAGACATTGAATATACTTTTGAGACTGATGAAGTTATTAATAACACTTTGGATGGTGTATCAACACTCCCAGTCACTACAAACATACAGGCGTCCTTACTAACTCAGCTGCCGGAGAGGAAGGAAACCCCCCGGGATTTCACCATGAGGCCAATGGTGACTTTAAAACAGTTAAGAGTTTAATGGCTGTGATAGGAGAACTGAAGATGGATCAACATTGTAGTTACTCCACAATACTAACCTAAATGACACAGTGAAAAGAAGGAAACCTGTACAGAATACAAATATTCCACAACATGCATCCTGTTTGCAATAAGGTACTAAAGTAAAACTGAAAAATTTGGCAAAGAAATTAAATGTATGTCCTTAATACAAAGTGTTATGTTTGGGGCAAATCCAATACAACACATCAATCATGATGGTGGCCGCATTATGTTATGGGTATGCTTGTCATCGGCAAGGACTAGGGACTTTTTTTAGGATAGAAAAACGGAAGAGAGATAAACACAGGCAAAATCCTAGAGGAAGACTTTCCAACAGACACTGGGAGACAGATTCAACTTTCTGCAAGACAATAACCTAAAACACAAGGCAGAATATACACTGGTGTTGCTTACCAAGACGACATGGAATGTTCCTAAATAGCCTTGTTACAGTTTTGACTTAAACCGGCTTGAAAATCTACGGCAAGACTTGAAAATGGCGGTCTAGCAATGATCAACAACCAACTTGACAGAGCTTGAAGAATTGTTTAAATAATAATGGAACAAATGTTGCACAATCCAGGTGTGCAAAGTTCTTATAGACTTAACCAGAAAGACTCACAGCTGTAATCGCTGCCAAAGGTGATTCTAACATGTATTGACTCAGGGGTGTGAATACTTATGTAAATTAGATATTTATGTATTTCATTTCCAATACATTTGCAAAAATGTCTAAAAAAATGTTTTCACTTTGTCATTATGGTGTATTGTGTGTAGATGGGTGAGAAAAAATATTTTGAATTCAGGCTATAACACAACAAAATGTGAAATAAGTCAAGGGGTATGAAAACTTTCTGAAGGCACTGAACATGCTTGCAAAATGTTCTGATCAGTGCTAATAAATTAGCCAACTTGACAAGATGATCATGAGCAGCACTCACCTCAACTTAGCTAACATTTCCACAGCCTAATTGTAGCCTAACAAATATCCAAACGGAGATTCAGTGAAAAGAAAAATCGGACATTGATTGATTTATCAAGACGAGTCCCCACGCTTGTCTCAAAGGAGCGAGAAACAGTGCTGAAATAGTTGACCACATGCAGGTAGGCTATTGCTTCAAATCCTATTATAACAACTGGATGACTTTGGGAGTTTCAGTAAGCAACAATTTGTTGCCTTCAATTACATTAGCCTACTTTATTCCAATATTTCCATCATTCAGTGATATTTATTCCCACAATAATTATTTATGATTCATCCAGTTGTGGTTAAGAAAACAGTGTATGTGGTGGGCTATGCGAAGAGATGGGTGAAGTGACATGTCTAGCAAAGTTTATAACTGGCAAGAGGATAGTAGTAATGGGCACTGCCTAGCAACCATCAAGAACTTAAGCGTAGAGCGTGCCATTCCGCCTCAGCATTTCATACTAAGCCGTAGGCAGAACTTTACCACAATCATGACTAGGTCGGTTGGTGGAAATGTAGAGGCTTTGTCGCCGGGCAATACCTTTCATATATAAAGAAAAGCCTGCAAAAAGTTGGCGGAATGCTAAAGTCGGCGGAAAAACATATTGGTTTGAAAGGTGTACATGGAAGGCCAAAACTTCCCCCCACCAAAACAAGCAGAAATTTCAGGTGGTCTTTTCAAACAGCTGTTACAATAAAAGGGCATTATCATAATTTTCACAATTTCACAGTATTTTTCCAAACTCTTAGTGTGGAAATATATATAAAACATAGGAAAAATCACATTTTTGACTGTACTGGGTCTTTAAATAATTGCATGTGACATATGAAAACTTCACATGCCCCCAAATATTCTAATGAGCCCCTGCCTCTAGCTGGGCTTGGTCTGGGATAGCCTGTGTTGGGCTGGCGTGGGCTTAGTGTGGGCTAGCCTGTGCCCACCTTGCCCCCTGAATACCCACATGGGGCCATGTTTGCTGGGTCTTTACCCTATTTCTGACTTACACCATAACAACATGATTCTGACTGCAGTCCCGCTTAGCACAAACTGGTTGAATCAACGTTGTTGCTTCAGCGTAATTTGTCAACGTATTGTGACGTGGAATCTACGTGTAAAATACATTGGATTTGCAAAAAGTCATCACTGATGTTTGAGGGTGAAATTTCAACCACAGGATTATGTCATCATGTTAACCAATTTTCAACATAGACAAACCTTGTATAAATATGTTGAATACATGTTACATTTGTACCTTTGAAACAATGTCAGATCTTCAACGTTATATCCACCATCAGAAAAGACAATAGGCTGGCCAGCAACTCCCACTGGAAAGTACACTGAACAAAATTATAAACGCAGCATACAACAATTTCAAAGATTTTACTGTTACAGTTCATATATGGAAATCAGTCAATTTAAATACATTCATCAGGCCCTAATCTATGGATTTCACATGACTGGGAATACCTTCATTTTTTAAAGATAGTGGCGTGGATCAGAAAACATGTCAGTATCTGGTGTGACCACCATTTGCCTCATGCAGCGTAACACATCTCCTTCGCATAGAGTTGACGAGGCTGTTGATTGTGGCCTGTGGAATGTTGTCCCACTCCTCTTCAATATCTGTCTTCTAAGCTGACATATGGAATTGTTTTAAGATGGTCATACCATGGATCATTTAGCTATTTGATTTGGAATTTTAGGGCCCCTTCATGTGTCCCAAACGTATTGTATGAAATGTATTTGACAAAATATTGAATTTGGCATTTACTACTATAGCCCTTAAAAACGCATTGAATAACACATTCATAAAATGGTAAAAAATAAAGCACAAAAAAAATTCATAAGGAATAAGGTTTCGAAGTGTCTGTCCTATTTCTAGAAGATACAGTGCATTCGGAAACTATTCAGACCCCTTGACTTTTTCCACATTGTGTTATGTTACAGCCTTATTAAATAAAAATAAATTAAATAAAACATTTTCCTCATCAATCTTCAAACAATACCCCAAAATGACAAAACGAAAACAGGTTTTTAGACATTTTTGCAAATTTAATACCTTTTAGAATAAGGCTGTAATGTAACAAAATGTGGAAAAAAGTGAAGCAGTCTGAATACTTTCCGAATGCACTGTATAAGAAAGCTCATGAAATGTTATATACACTGCTCAAAAAAATAAAGGGAACACTTAAACAACACAATGTAACTCCAAGTCAATCACACTTCTGTGAAATCAAACTGTCCACTTAGGAAGCAACACTGATTGACAATAAATTTCACATGCTGTTGTGCAAATGGAATAGACAACAGGTGGAAATTATAGGCAATTAGCAAGACACCCCCAATAAAAGAAGTGGTTCTGCAGGTGGTGACCACAGACCACTTCTCAGTTCCTATGCTTCCTGGCTGATGTTTTGGTCACTTTTGAATGCTGGCGGTGCTTTCACTCAAGTGGTAGCATGAGACGGAGTCTACAACCCACACAAGTGGCTCAGGTAGTGCAGCTACCTGGTAGGATGGCACATCAATGCGAGCTGTGGCAAGAAGGTTTGCTGTGTCTGTCAGCGTAGTGTCCAGAGCATGGAGGCGTTACCAGGAGACAGGCCAGTACATCAGGAGACGTGGAGGAGGCCGTAGGAGGGCAACAACCCAGCAGCAGGACCACTACCTCCACCTTTGTGCAAGGAGGAGCAGGAGGAGCACTGCCAGAGCCCTGCAAAATGACCTCCAGCAGGCCACAAATGTGCATGTGTCTGCTCAAACGGTCAGAAACAGACTCCATGAGGGTGGTATGAGGGCCCGACGTCCACAGGTGGGGGTTGTGCATACAGCCCAACACCGTGCAGGACGTTTGGCATTTGCCAGAGAACACCAAGATTGGCAAATTCGCCACTGGCGCCCTGTGCTCTTCACAGATGAAAGCAGGTTCACACTGAGCACATGTGACAGACGTGACAGAGTCTGGAGACGCCGTGGAGAACATTCTGCTGCCTGCAACATCCTCCAGCATGACCGGTTTGGCGGTGGGTCAGTCATGGTGTGGGGTGGCATTTCTTTGTGGGGCCGCACAGCCCTCCATGTGCTCACCAGAGGTAGCCTGACTGCCATTAGGTACCGAGATGAGATCCTCAGACCCCTTGTGAGACCATATGCTGGTGCGGTTGGCCCTGGGTTCCTCCTAATACAAGACAATGCTAGACCTCATGTGGCTGGAGTGTGTCAGCAGTTCCTGCAAGAGGAAGGCATTGATGCTATGGACTGGCCCGCCCGTTCCCCAGACCTGAATCCAATTGAGCACATCTGGGACGTTGCACCACAGACTGTCCAGGAGTTGGCGGATGCTTTAGTCCAGGTCTGGGAGGAGATCCCTCAGGAGACCATCCGCCACCTCATCAGGAGCATGCCCAGGCGTTGTAGAGAGGTCATACAGGCACGTGGAGGCCACACACACTACTGAGCCTCATTTTGACTTGTTTTAAGGACATTACATCAAAGTTGGATCAGCCTGTAGTGTGGTTTTCCACTTTAATTTTGAGGGTGACTCCAAATCCAGACCTCCATGGGTTGATACATTTGATTTCCATTGATCATTTTTGTGTGATTTTGTTGTCAGCACATTCAACTATGTAAAGAAAAAAGTATTTAATAAGATTATTTCATTCATTCAGATCTAGGATGTGTTGTTTAAGTGTTCCCTTAATTTTTTTGAGCAGTGTATATATACAGTGGGGAAAAAAAGTATTTAGTCAGCCACCAATTGTGCAAGTTCTCCCACTTAAAAAGATGAGAGAGGCCTGTAATTTTCATCATAGGTGCACGTCAACTATGACAGACAAATTGAGGGAAAAAAATCCAGAAAATCACATTGTAGGATTTTTTATGAATTTATTAGCAAATTATGGTGGAAAATAAGTATTTGGTCACCTACAAACAAGCAAGATTTCTAGCTCTCACAGACCTGTAACTTCTTCTTTAAGAGGCTCCTCTGTCCTCCACTGGTTACCTGTATTAATGGCACCTGTTTGAACTTGTTATCAGTATAAAAGACACCTGTCCACAACCTCAAACAGTCACACTCCAAACTCCACTATGGCCAAGACCAAAGAGCTGTCAAAGGACACCAGAAACAAAATAGTAGACCTGCACCAGGCTGGGAAGACTGAATCTGCAATAGGTAAGCATCTTGGTTTGAAGAAATCAACTGTGGGAGCAATTAGTAGGAAATGGAAGACATACAAGACCACTGATAATCTCCCTTGATCTGGGGCTCCACGCAAGATCTCACCCTGTGGGGTCAAAATGATCACAAGAACGGTGAGCAAAAATCCCAGAACCACACGGGGGGACCTAGTGAATGACCTGCAGAGAGCTGGGACCAAAGTAACAAAGCCTACCATCAGTACACACTACGCCCGCAGGGACTCAAATCCTGCAGTGCTAGAACGTGTCCCCCTGCTTAAGACAGAACATTGTCCAGGGCCCTTCTGAAGTTGCTCGATTTCATTTGGATGATCCAAAGAGGATTGGGAGATGTCATATGTCAGATGAAACCAAAATATAACTTTTTGGTAAAACTCAACTCGTCGTGTTTGAAGGACAAAGAATGCTGAGTTGCATCCAAAGAACACCATACCTACTATGAAGCATGGGGGTGGAAACATCATGCTTTGGGGCTGTTTTTCTGCAAGTTCACAGTATTTTTCCAAACTCTTAGTGTGGAAATATATATAAAACATAGGAAAAATCACATTTTGACTGTACTGGGTCTTTTTAAATAATTGCATGTGACATATGAAAACTTCACATGCCCCCAAATATTCAAATGAGCCCCTGCCTCTAGCTGGGCTTGGTCTGGGATAGCCTGTGTTGGGCTGGCGTGGGCTTAGTGTGGGCTAGCCTGTGCCCACCTTGCCCCCTGAATACCCACATGGGGCCATTGTTGCTGGGTCTTTACCCTATTTCTGACTTACACCATAACAACATGATTCTGGACTGCAGTCCCGCTTAGCACAAAACTGGTTGAATCAACGTTGTTGCTTCAACGTAATTTGTCAACGTATTGTGACGTGGAATCTACGTGTAAAATACATTGGATTTGCAAAAAGTCATCACTGATGTTTGAGGGTGAACTTTCAACCACAGGATTATGTCATCATGTTAACCAATTTTCAACATAGACAAACCTTGTATAAATATGTTGAATACATGTTACATTTGTACCTTTGAAACAATGTCAGATCTTCAACGTTATATCCACCATCAGAAAAGACAATAGGCTGGCCAGCAACTCCTACTGGAAAGTACACTGAACAAAATTATAAACGCAGCATACAACAATTTCAAAGATTTTACTGTTACAGTTCATTAATGGAAATCAGTCAATTTAAATACATTCATCAGGCCCTAATCTATGGATTTCACATGACTGGGAATACCTTCCTTTTTTTAAAAGATAGTGGCGTGGATCAGAAAACCAGTCAGTATCTGGTGTGACCACCATTTGCCTCATGCAGCGCAACACATCTCCTTCGCATAGAGTTGATGAGGCTGTTGATTGTGGCCTGTGGAATGTTGTCCCACTCCTCTTCAATATCTGTCTTCTAAGCTGACATATGGAATTGTTTTAAGATGGTCATACCATGGATCATTTAGCTATTTGATTTGGAATTTTAGGGCCCCTTCATGTGTCCCAAACGTTTTGTATGAAATGTATTTGACAAAATATTGAATTTGGCATTTACTACTATAGCCCTTAAAAACGCATTGAATAACACATTCATAAAATGGCAAAAAATAAAGCACCAAAAAAAATCATAAGGAATAAGGTTTTGAAGTGTCTGTCCTATTACTAGAAGTTACAGTGCATTCGGAAACTATTCAGACCCCTTGACTTTTTCCACATTTTGTTACGTTACAGCCTTATTAAATACAAATAAATTAAATAAAACATTTTCCTCATCAATCTTCAAACAATAACCCAAAATGACAAAACGAAAAAAGGTTTTTAGACATTTTTGCAAATTTAATACATTTTAGAATAAGGCTGTAATGTAACAAAATGTGGGAAAAAGTGAAGCGGTCTGAATACTTTCCGAATGCACTGTATAAGAAAGCTCAGGAAATGTTATATACACTGCTCAAAAAAATAAAGGGAACACTTAAACAACACAATGTAACTCCAAGTCAATCACACTTCTGTGAAATCAAACTGTCCACTTAGGAAGCAACACTGATTGACAATACATTTCACATGCTGTTGTGCAAATGGAATAGACAACAGGTGGAAATTATAGGCAATTAGCAAGACACCCAATAAAGAAGTGGTTCTGCAGGTGGTGACCACAGACCACTTCTCAGTTCCTATGCTTCCTGGCTGATGTTTTGGTCACTTTTGAATGCTGGCGGTGCTTTCACTCAAGTGGTAGCATGAGACGGAGTCTACAACCCACACAAGTGGCTCAGGTAGTGCAGCTCATCCAGGATGGCACATCAATGCGAGCTGTGGCAAGAAGGTTTGCTGTGTCTGTCAGCGTAGTGTCCAGAGCATGGAGGTGCTACCAGGAGACAGGCCAGTACATCAGGAGACGTGGAGGAGGCCATAGGAGGGCAACAACCCAGCAGGACCACTACCTCCACCTTTGTGCAAGGAGGAGCAGGAGGAGCACTGCCAGAGCCCTGCAAAATGACCTCCAGCAGGCAACAAATGTGCATGTGTCTGCCCAAACGGTCAGAAACAGACTCCATGAGGGTGGTATGAGGGCCCGACGTCCACAGGTGGGGGTTGTGCATACAGCCCAACACCGTGCAGGACGTTTGGCATTTGCCAGAGAACACCAAGATTGGCAAATTCGCCACTGGCGCCATGTGCTCTTCACAGATGAAAGCAGGTTCACACTGAGCACATGTGACAGACGTGACAGAGTCTGGAGACGCTGTGGAGAACGTTCTGCTGGCTGCAACATCCTCCAGCATGACCGGTTTGGCGGTGGGTCAGTCATGGTGTGGGGTGGCATTTCTTTGTGGGGCCACACAGCCCTCCATGTGCTCGCCAGAGGTAGCCTGACTGCCATTAGGTACCGAGATGAGATCCTCAGACCCCTTGTGAGACCATATGCTGGTGCGGTTGGCCCTGGGTTCCTCCTAATGCAAGACAATGCTAGACCTCATGTGGCTGGAGTGTGTCAGCAGTTCCTGCAAGAGGAAGGCATTGATGCTATGGACTGGCCCGCCCGTTCCCCAGACCTGAATCCAATTGAGCACATCTGGGACATCATGTCTCGCTCCATCCACCAACGCCACGTTGCACCACAGACTGTCCAGGAGTTGGCGGATGCTTTAGTCCAGGTCTGGGAGGAGATCCGTCAGGAGACCATCCGCCACCTCATCAGGAGCATGCCCAGGCGTTGTAGGGAGGTCATACAGGCACGTGGAGGCCACACACACTACTGAGCCTCATTTTGACTTGTTTTAAGGACATTACATCAAAGTTGGATCAGCCTGTAGTGTGGTTTTCCACTTTAATTTTGAGGGTGACTCCAAATCCAGACCTCCATGGGTTGATACATTTGATTTCCATTGATCATATTTGTGTGATTTTGTTGTCAGCACATTCAACTATGTAAAGAAAAAAGTATTTAATAAGATTATTTAATTGATTCAGATCTAGGATGTGTTGTTTAAGTGTTCCCTTTATTTTTTTGAGCAGTGTATATATATATATATTTTTTTTTACACATATTGAACAGCTTTTTTGGGGTAGGCACCGAACTACCGCCATACTTCCATTCATTTTTTGAAACCGGTACCGGCTACCTTCAGATGAGTCCAGTGACACTTGGTGTTCGTGAGAATCTCCCCTTTCCTCAGTGGGGTCACATTAGTTTGTAACCCAAATGGTTCAGATGCTACAAAACACAAGTTGGCACACCGACGGTACCAACTTTAGACGAGTCCCCTGACACTTGTGGGGGTCATAGAGCAAAACGGAGAACACCATCGTGTTCGTGAGAGTGGTCATAGTTGTTTGTAGGCCAAACGGTTCGGATGCTACAGACGTTTTCGTGAGAAGGCCGATTTTCTGGATGTCTCATGGTCTGACAAACACCACTCTAGCTCTGCAACCTTTCACCGCAGATGCAGAAGTGCGTTGGATTGAGACACATTCAATGCAAAAAAAAAAACATATCTCTAGCTTAAACTGACTGATTTTGATGGGGATTTCTTTATTGTGTTACTTAGATTGTCGCATCGGTGCGTCAATCAACTCTAGGGGGTTAATAAGCTTCTGATATGCCACACCTGTCAGGTGGATGGATTAATATGGCAAAGCAGAAATTCTCACTAACAGGGATGTAAACAAATTTGTGCCCAACATTTTAGAGAAATAAGCTTTTTGTGTGTATGGAACATTTCTGGGATCTTTTATTTCATGAAACATGGGACCAACACTTTACATGTTGCGTTTATATTTTTGTTCAGTACAGATTTATCTACAGTAATCCTTTTGGTCTCCCATCCAGGGTTTTAACCAAGCCCTGATTAGCATTTAGATTTGTCACTGACTGGTTGAATCAACGTTGTTTCCACGTCATTTCAACAGCAAAAAATTCAATGTGATAACGTTGAATCAACGTGGAATACTGATTGGATTTGCAAAAACTCATCAACGTAAGGGAATTCCCAATTTTTTTTCACCCAACTTTTAACCTAAATCCAATAACATGGTGACATTTTTTGTTGGCAACTCAAACTAAACATTGAGGTGTATGTGCCCAGTGAGTAATGTGCCATCTTAAGAATCATTATTGAGGGATCTCCACTTTAAAACTAAATAGGTTCACTGTTGCTATTTGTATTCCAAAGGGTAGGTTTAACAGAGCAAATGTAACCATATGTGTATCAATGTAATTCTATTTCATCAATGATGTTACTTAGGCCTATATAGCAGTTCCAAAAAATCCTCAACAGCTATTGTTTCAATTTAACCAAGGATTCAACTAAAAATAGACAATACCTATAGGCTTCGGTTGATTTCAATTTTTAATTTAAAGCAATACTTCAGGAATTTGGCCATGATGCCCTTTATCTTCTTCCCTGGGGTCAGATTAACTTGTGGATACCATTTGTATGCCTCTGTGTCCAGTATGAAGGACGTTATAGGTAGTTTCACAAGCCAATGCTAACTAGTATTAGCGCAATGACTGGAATTCTATGGGTATAGACTTCGAGTCATTATGCTAACGCTATTATGCACTAGTTAGCAACTTCCTTCAAACTGCACGCAGAGACATAAAAATGGTATCCACGATTGACAAAATCCCGAAGTATCCCTTTAATAATTGATATGTTGGGTTGACATCTCCATCTCAACCAAAAATCTAACTTAAAGAATAGGACTAAGCCAGTGTCAGACAGAACTATCCAAGCAGTCAATACATCTCCTTCAAATGTTGATTTTTGGTTGTGCTGAAAACGAAACACTTCAATATAACTTTTTATTACACTAAATAGCCTATTAACTTGTTTACCAATTATATATGTTGGATTCACGTCTCCAACTCAACCAGAAATCAAAAAGTTAAAGAATACGACTAAGCCAGTGGCACAGATAGAACTATTTAAGCAGTAGCAGCATTGAGCACTTGCACCATTAGTATTTATTGCAACCCCAACTGCAATTCAGGTCATTTGGTTGTGCTATTAGATGAAACACAGCGATAACACATTCAGTTGTATAAATAAACAAAAATCTGACATAGTTTTTCTATTGGAATTTGGTTGTGCTTTCAGATCAAGGGTTCTTTAAACTTTTTCAGCCTGGGACCCAAATGAGAAATTCTGTGTTTTCCTGGGACCCAAGCTTATGAAAACATGCAACTATACGTAAATATTGGTACATTTAATTGCCTTTATGCCTAAAACAAATGCAATATAGACAAAAACAAATAACAATGAAATACCCATATAAATAGCAATTAATGTTTATTTTTACCCATTAAAAACACTCTTACATATCTGTCTAGGTTGTAACTGTTTCTGTTAAAATAAAATAAATCATTTTCATTCTGAACTATAACAGAACACACACCAGCTCAGTTTGTGATAGTGCAACCCTAAGTAACAATACAGATGAAAAATTATCAGTCCTATTGTACATCTTACTGTAGAAAGTGTTGTTGAAAAAAAAGGTTGGAACTGTTGCTGTTAAAATACAATAAATGGATCAGAACATTGACTGCTTTCTCAGGCAGGGGACCGCTTCCTGCTGTAAATGAGCAACCGAGAACTGTGTGAGTGTGTTTGCCCTCCCCCCCCCCCCAAAAAAAAGCATCTTGCTTCAATCAGTTTATTCCCGAAAAAAATTATTACTTGTATTTTAACAGCAACAGTTTCAACCTAGACTTGTTTTCAACAACAATTTCTACAGTAAGATGTAAAGTAGGCCTGATAATTTTTCATCTTCATCTGTACTGTTACTTAGGGTTGCACTAAGTACAGCAGCTAACTTACTTGCTTTGGCTAACGTTAGCTAGCTATCACCTGTGTACAAGGGGATTGTTTGAAAGAGAAACTCACATCTACTACTATGAGCGATAGTACTCCCTTATTTCTGCTTATCATCACCTGTTAGAAAATGACAACAATACTAGCTGACTTACTTTTCCACTGTCAAAGCAATGTTTCCTGAAGTATTGTGCCCTGACAAAGAAAGTGGAGCCGTATATGTCGTCAGCGATTGTAAATGGAGATTCGTAGTATTCTATACCCTGAAGAAAGGGGAAGTATGAACCCACACCCGTGAACACCTACTTATCACCTTGCACCTTATTCCCATTGATGTGTATTTTTTAATGGATTGTCAGATAAAACTGGGTTAATCACGAACATAGAGTTAGAATTATTTGTTACTGGGCCAGGAATGTAATTGGGTCATTTCACTGTGTGTGTGGTGGTAAAGAGGGAATCTGACCTAGGGTCAGATTGCTTGCTCTTACTTAGATCCATGGTTGTCTTATCATATCAAAGACTGAAACTGGCTTGGGCCTTTTGTTTCTGTCTTCAAACACAGTGAAAAGAGCCAGCGTTGAACAAACATGAATGTTTTTGCAAGATAAGGATTGATTGAATGTAGTACTCTGAACTTAATGAAAGTCGAGTTTAGCCGCTCTCAGAGACAAAAGAAGTGGGCGGAGCAATAAAAGAGCGGGAAAACTGAAGAGGACTATATAAGGTAGAGGGAGACCGGAAGGGGGGGTGCCATTCTGCAGACTGGTATCGGCTTTGTTGAAACTCTAAAAAAGTAATCTTAATGCAACAAAAACTCTGTAAGACCTTATTTGTAATATAGTATAGTGGTTATTTTCCACAACATAATTGGCACCCGAGACGGGACTGGTTATAAGAGATCTTTGAGTGCTTTGCCATCGGGGGAGGTTTTGACGAATCACACAATCAGTGGCCACTGTTTAAACAAAGGTAAGCGATGTTCTTAATTAAACTGTGTGTTTCGATCAAGCTGAATCTGAGGGTAGGGTACGGAACGGTTCTCTCCAGAATATAAGGACCAAATTTAGCAGAAGAACAGAGTTTTTATTGGAATAAAGAATAAACATGCATGCAATGTGATTGTTGAAAAGTGTAAATAAGTTAAATCCTGTGGTACCGCTGTGGAGAGCTAAGTTAGCACTCCAGGGGGCTGGACGAGCAGGTGGCTAGCCAAGAGTTGTACATAAGACAGAGGGCCTACGGTACCGCTCTAACGTGGAGTTCATTGTTAGAGGACTGCTCGGGTAGGTGTGCATTATCCTGGAGGAGGGGATGCACAAATTAGACAGCTAATCAGGTAAAAACATAGGTCATCCTGAGTAGGTGACACCATAAATTGGAAGTCGCGCTTTTCATCCCTAGTAGGTGAACAGTTGTGGACGCCACCAGGGCTTCAAAGTATAGAGAAATAATCTGCTCATCTCGTAAGGGTGAATGGTTAGCTTGAGCGGCTGTGAGTCATTCAGTGATTCATTTAAGCACGAGTGGCGGCTTATCTGTGTGGGTGATCGGACAACAAAGCTTCTAAGGCTGGTGGAGAAAGGGCAAGCCCAATCTTGCATTGGGAAGAGGAGAATTGATAGTATGTGGATATTCATTTACTAACGGAGTGTGGAAAATTCACGTTACTGGGAGAAGAAAATTAAAGGTGTCTTTTCCCGGAGGGGTATGAGAAATCCTGTTGGAGGAACAGGTCACGTGTACGGGGGTGATCATATGACGGCAACACATTGAATTTCGGTCAAGCTTATAGGGGATCATTACATTTGGAAAATATAAAAGTAAATGTTGATAGAGTTAACATTCCAAATTTGGGTACTTTTATAGAAGAAAATTCCTGTAGGTTATACGAATATTGATTGTGTGTTTGGGAAGTAGCGTTGTGTGAATGAGGTATGAGTAAATTTCAAGTGTGGAGAATGAGCTGGTTATATAATGATACCTGGGGGGGGTGGTAAAATTAACTTGCGGGAATAAAGAATCATTAGAAATACGAATGCGGTGGTTGATATGAATAATATTAAAATATGATGAATGTTATGTGCGGATAAGTGGTTATTAGAGAGTGGGTAAAAGTGAAATAATATGAGTGCTGGCTTGCGCGCCCAAGCACGTAGACATACGTGGGGGGTGGGAGACAGTACATAGATCATTTGATAGAGATAAAATTAGGTATTATAATAGCTAATTATCATTTCAGAAGCAGAGGTGATATGGTCAAGGAATTTGAGTATATTAGGGGGAAAATATAATTCATTTGAGTAAAGTCGTTAGATCTGTTTCCAAATCAAGGAACGTAGGTTTGACTTGTTGACTGCTAAGTTATTTGCGTTGAGCTTGTGAGATCTGTGTCCTTTAAAGCTAGTTTGTGATGAATGTGGTATGTGCCAGATACTAAAACTACAGACCATTTTAATTAGGATAAAGGAGGATTTATTTGTCATTTCAATAAAGCATAGTCCTGCATTACTGACTAAAATCTAGGTTTTCTGGTTATATTGGAAGACTGGGATTTAGGAGGTTGCGTGGTTCAGAGTGAACGACTCACTTATTCCATAGTGGCGCCGAATGAGGTGATAATTTTAAAACTACTGAGAATGGTTGTGATTCGGAATATTGAATTGAACATGGGTGTGAATTGAATGTATGCTTGTCAACGAAAGCAAGTATTTGTTTTATTAATTATTGCGTAATCAGAAAGGACAGATACAGAAATTGAATAGTGGACTGGCAATTTCGATAGAGCCGGGGCCAGGATTTGAATTGATAACAAAGGAAAGTAATTTAGTAGGGAAGTTAGAATTGCAACGGTGAATTGTATGGGTAGACAGAGGAGAGTAATGTATTTTAATAATATGAATGCAAAAATACTATTAGTTATTGGTGGTTTGGGAATAGACTTTACTAATGCCATGTTTTAGTTCGCGGGTAAAAGAGAGACAGACTAGCGAGTACGAATCGAGCTGTAAGGGAGATTAATAATAGAAATCTAGATAGAAGAAGGAGTAGTTGAAAGCCAAGGTTTGGGAATAAATGCAGAGACGAAGATTAGAAAGAGAACCATTGGAAAACAGATACAAAAGTTCAGATACGGGGAAAATAGAGTACGTGAGTACAACGGGAGGGTTTTTGAAAAGTAGAGTAACAAGGATATTGATCGGGGAAAGTAGGGTGTGGTCTAGCGACCTAGAACGAATAGGGTACTGGGAAAATACCTAGGGACAGGAAAAGTCTCCAGGGTTATTTCATAGGTTTGGGATAAGATAAGGGAACAAAGGAAAATAAGAGTATAGTTCGAAAGCACAGGGGAGTGAGTGTCTTATTTTAATGGGAGATGAGACAATGGAACAAAGGATAAGAAGAATATTAAAAGAAAGGCAAGGGATAATCTCGGGTTTTGGAAAGAAGAAGAGCGAGAAAGAAATCTTGAAACTATTCTGTGAGGAAGGAAAGAGTTGGAGGGACAGCATAGCCAAGGCTATTTATCCTTTGAGAAGCCTTTGCTGCCAAATGGGAGGTCGCATCAATTGAACTGACTTCAACAAATGTAGAGTGACTGCACGGGTGCCCTCTGATGATCATTTAAGTAAGGATAAACTTGCTAAGGCAATAATTAAACTTTGGGCAATTGATGTCGTTCATAACCACTTTGCAGGTGTTCTGAAATAACTCCCTGGGTTTACCATCATGCTGTGGATGTTTGGTCAGGACGTGTCATTTTAATTTGTTCGTTTTGAGAAACTCATAACTAAGCATTTCCCCACACAAAACACATTGTGTGCGCTCCTCGTTATTTCTCGAAGTTTGTATGAAACCAAGAGAGAGAAACTCATCGCTGTATTTGCGCTGTATGAGCTCAGTCAGAACTTGTGGCTAGCTTGAGTCCATTTGATGACAGCGGTGAGTGATGGAAAGTGAGAATGACAAGTCGGTGGCTGACAGCGCATCATCTGCTGCTGAACGACAGCGCTGCAGCGTATGGGTCGCGGAGTGATCTTCAATAAAACTGCAGAAAGAAGATCTGGTAAACTGCGAAGCACACAGGAATATCCCTCCCACTCGCGCAGCTGCCAAACTGAGCAGAGACACCACTGCTAAGCAGAGAGCGCACTGAACAGAGAGCGCAGTTGCACTTGGCCAAATCAGTTCCAGTAATGTTTTAGATGGTTGAAAGCATAGTGATAACACATTGGGAATTCAACAAACTTTTTGTGTGGGTGAATATAGGTTGTAATCGCATTGATCAATGGCTCAACCAAATATTACCAAATTGCAGATTGCTTTATCATATGATGTGGTTAGCTAGTAGGTTGAACACCTATCCAGGGGTTGTGAGATCTGGCAGGTGTCTGAAATGTAGTCAGGCAGGAATCACTCACCATGGCTAAAGTAGCCCTCCTCCTGCCAGATGAGAAAGGCGTCTCCCAGGCTAGAGAAGATGAGTCCGGCCAGGATCTTGCGGGCACTGGAGTGGGCACCTAAGAAGCTGAAGCCGTGGGCAAGCATGAAGAGCCACAGGCAGAAGATGGGTAGACACTTGATGAGGGCGCTGAACCAAGAAGGGCTAGAGGTTGGTAGCCACAGGACAAAGTAGACACAGGTAGACTTGAAGAAGGGCACCAGCTTAGGGCCCTCACTCTTCACCTGGAACACAACATAAAACCCAAGTGAGTGAGTGAGTGAGTGAGTGAGTGAGTGAGTGAGTGAGTGAGTGAGTGAATGAATGAATGAATGAATGAATGAATGAATAGGAGAAGCTCTAGCAGCCCCTCTTGAGTGAGTGATTGGCTACATCCGATTCTCTACCCTTGTCCCGAAGTGTGCATTTGTACTGCACACTCCCCCTCATGGATTTAAAAGGAATGGTGAGATTCTCCCATAGACTGGTGTAAGAAATAAGGGAAACTTTTTCCAGTCATGCCTGCACCAATCCAATGCTTTTAAATGCAAGGGGAGTGAACGAGTGCACACTTCTGGAGAAAGGTATTGGAATGCAGCCAATGAGTGAGTGAGTGGGTGGGTGAGTGAGTGGGTGGGTGGGTCGGTGTTGACAGTTTGTTACACAGTAATCATTCAGTTAATCAGTTGTTGTGAAGACAGATTTGGAATTATAGCGTTCAACATTCAACATAATCCCAGCAAAAGAAGACGATTGGGAGTCATTTCAATAAAACGTTATTTATCCCCTCAGGGGGCAATTAAGAAAGGCAAGTCAGGTACAAGTATCATCATGACATTCTACTACAAGGAACTGGGAATGTGGAATTCCTCTAAACAACTGAATTCCTAGAGAAGATCAACAACAAATGTGGGGCCATTCTTTAGCTGAATAATAACGACTCTCCTGAACAATATCATCACATTTGAAGGGATCAGTTTAAGCAAGGCAAAGCGCATAATTGCTAATCTTTATCGCATAATGAGTAGTTATTTGGTACGGAAGGTAATTTGTAGTTCAGTGATTCTGAGCAGTATGACAGCAAAGTAGTCAATCTAGTATAACGTTACAACAGAGCCTGCACTGTGTATGTATAGTCTCCTTGACTGAAGTGCCCTCTTCTCTCTCTCTGTTATCCTATGGCTCGCTGATCACTGGTAAACACTTCCTACAGGTCAAAGGTCATGTGATCTTGCTTTGATGTGAATCTGGTGTAGCGTATAGTACATCTGCAGTGGTGAAAATCTGTATGGGTGAGGGAAGAGGGGGTGACGGCAACTGCAGGGTAGGGCTGTTATGGTGACCATATAACTGCCACACCGGCAGTCGCGAGTCATGAAGGCAGTCAAATTCCACATGACCGTTTAGTCACGGTAATTAGACTTCTCCAAGCTCTGATGCTGCTGATGGTCATTAGTAGCCTACCAAACGTTTTTGTTGTTGTTATTTTTTGTTACAAAAAAAAATAAGTATAGGGGGTAGATCAGCTTTAATATTGCAGGTAGATTGTAACTTCCATCAATGTAATTGTCTGCATCACTTCCAATCCCCCATATGTTTTATTTATTTAGCATATATATATATATATATATATATATATATATATATATATATATATATATATATATATATATATATATATATATAGATACACACACACACACACACACACACACACACATACATACATACATACATACCTACATACGCATATACAGTGGGGAGAACAAGTATTTGATACACTGCCGATTTTGCAGGTTTTACTACTTACAAAGAATGTAGAGGTCTGTAATTTTTATCATAGGTACACTTCAACTGTAAGAGACGGAATCTAAAACAAAAATCCAGAAAATCACATTCTATGATTTTTAAGTAATTAATTTGCATTTTATTGCATGACATAAGTATTTGATACATCAGAAAAGCAGAACTTAATATTTGGTACAGAAACCTTTGTTTGCAATTACAGAGATCATACGTTTCCTGTAGGTCTTGACCAGGTTTGCACACACTGCAGCAGGGATTTTGGCCCACTCCTCCATATAGACCTTCTCCAGATCCTTCAGGTTTCGGGGCTGTCGCTGGGCAATACAGACTTTCAGCTCCCTCCAAAGATGTTCTATTGGGATCAGGTCTGGAGACTGGCTAGGCCACTCTAGGACCTTGAGATGCTTCTTACGGAGCCACTCCTTAGTTGCCCTGGCTGTGTGATTCGGGTCGTTGTCATGCTGGAAGACCCAGCCACGACCCATCTTCAATGCTCTTACTGAGGGAAGGAGGTTGTTGGCCAAGATCTCGCGATACATGGCCCCATCCATCCTCCCCTCAATACGGTGCAGTCGTCCTGTCCCCTTTGCAGAAAAGCATCCCCAAAGAATGATGTTTCCACCTCCATGCTTCACGGTTGGGATGGTGTTCTTGGGGTTGTACTCATCCTTCTTCTTCCTCCAAACACGGCGAGTGGAGTTTAGACAAAAAAGCTCTATTTTTGTCTAATCAGACCACATGACCTTCTCCCATTCCTCCTCTGGATCATCGGCAAACTTCAGACGGGCCTGGACATGCGCTGGCTTGAGCAGGGGGACCTTGCGTGCGCTGCAGGATTTTAATCCATGACGGCGTAGTGTGTTACTAATGGTTTTCTTTGAGACTGTGGTCCCAGCTCTCTTCAGGTCATTGACCAGGTCCTGCCGTGTAGTTCTGAGCTGATCCCTCACCTTCCTCATGATCATTGATGCCCCACGAGATGAGATCTTGCATGGAGCCCCAGACCGAGGGTGATTGACCGTCATCTTGAACTTCTTCCATTTTCTAATAATTGCGCCAACAGTTGTTGCCTTCTCACCAAGCTGCTTGCCTATGGTCCTGTAGCCCATCCCAGCCTTGTGCAGGTCTACCATTTTTTCCCTGATATGCTTACACAGCTCTCTGATCTTGGCCATTGTGGAGAGGTTGGAGTCTGTTTGATTGAGTGTGTGGACAGGTGTCTTTTATACAGGTAACGAGTTCAAACAGGTGCAGTTAATACAGGTAATGAGTGGAGAACAGGAGGACTTCTTAAAGAAAAACTAACAGGTCTGTGAGAGACGGAATTCTTACTGGTTGGTAGGTGATCAAATACTTATGTCATGCAATAAAATGCAAATTAATTACTTAAAAATCATACAATGTGATTTTCTGTTTTTTTGTTTTAGATTCCGTCTCTCACAGTTGAAGTGTACCTATGATAAAGATTATAGACCTCTACATGCTTTGTAAGTAGGAAAACCTGCAAAATCGGCAGTGTATCAAATACTTGTTCTCCCCACTGTACATACACACACACACACACACACATACATATATATACATATATATATATATATATATATAGTGAGGGAAAAAAGTATTTGATCCCCTGCTGATTTTGTACGTTTGCCCACTGACAAAGAAATTATCAGTCTATAATTTTAATGGTAGGTTTATTTGAACAGTGAGAGACAGAATAACAACAACAAAATCCAGAAAAACGCATGTCGAAAATGTTATAAATTGATTTGCATTTTAATGAGGGAAATAAGTATTTGACCCCCTCTCAATTAGAAAGGTTTCTGGCTCCCAGGTGTCTTTTATACAGGTAACGAGCTGAGATTAGGAGCACACTCTTAAAGGGAGTGCTTCTAATCTCAGTTTGTTACCTGTATAAAAGACACCTGTCCACAGAAGCAATCAATCAATCAGATTCCAAACTCTCCACCATGGACAAGACCAAAGAGCTCTCCAAGGATGTCAGGGACAAGATTGTAGACCTACACAAGGCTGGAATGGGCTACAAGACCATCGCCAAGCAGCTTGGTGAGAAGGTGGTGCGATTATTCGCAAGTTGGTGCGATTATGGCAAATGGAAGAAACACAAAATAACTGTCAATCTCCCTCGGCCTGGGGCCCCATGCAAGATCTCACCTCGTGGAGTTGCAATGATCATGAGAACGGTGAGGAATCAGCCCAGAACTAGACGGGAGGATCTTGTCAATGATCTCAAGGCTGCTGGGACCATAGTCACCAAGAAAACAATTGGTAACACACTACGCCGTGAAGGACTGAAATACTGCATTGCCCACAAGGTCCCCCTGCTCAAGAAAGCACATATACAGGCCCGACTGAAGTTTGCCAATGAACATCTGAATGATTCAGAGGAGAACTGGTTGAAAGTGTTGTGGTCAGATGAGACCAAAATCGAGCTCTTTGGCATCAACTCAACTCGCCATGTTTGGAGGAGGAGGAATGCTGCCTATGACCCCAAGAACACCATCCACACCGTCAAACATGGAGGTGGAAACATTATGCTTTGGGGGTGTTTTTCTGCTAAGGGGACAGGACAACTTCACTGCATCAAAGGGACCATGGACGGGGCCATGTACCGTCAAATCTTGGGTGAGAACCTCCTTCCCTCAGCCAGGGTATTGAAAATGGGTCGTGGATGGGTATTCCAGCATGACAATGACCCAAAACACACGGCCAAGGCAACAAAGGAGTGGCTCAAGAAGAAGCACATTAAGGTCCTGGAGTGGCCTAGCCAGTCTCCAGACCTTAATCCCATAGAAAATCTATAGAGGGAGCTGAAGGTTCGAGTTGCCAAACGTCAGCCTCGAAACCTTAATGACTTGGAGAAGATCTGCAAAGAGGAGTGGGACAAAATCCCTCCTGAGATGTGTGCAAACCTGGTGGCCAACTACAAGAAACGTCTGACCTCTGTGATTGCCAACAAGGGTTTTGCAACCAAGTACTAAGTCATGTTTTGCAGAGGGGTCAAATACTTATTTCCCTCATTAAAATGCAAATCAATTGATAACATTTTTGACATGCGTTTTTCTGGATTTTTTTGTTGTTATTCTGTCTCTCACTGTTCAAATAAACCTACCATTAAAATGATAGACTGATCATGTCTTTGTCAGTGGGAAAACGTACAAAATCAGCAGGGGATCAAATACTTTTTTCCCTCACTGTATATACACACACATATACATACATACATACATACATACATACATACATACATACATACATACAGTGGGGGAAGAAAGTATTTAGTCAGCCACCAATTGTGCAAGTTCTCCCACTTAAAAAGATGAGAGAGGCCTGTAATTTTCATCATAGGTACACGTCAACAATGTAATTGGTCAATAACAAAAGTTTCTCAATACTTTGTTATATACCCTTTGTTGGCAATGACACAGGTCAAACGTTTTCTGTAAGTCTTCACAAGGTTTTCACACACTGTTGCTGGTATTTTGGCCCATTCCTCCATGCAGATCTCCTCTAGAGCAGTGATGTTTTGGGGCTGTCGCTGGGCACCACAGACTTTCAACTCCCTCCAAAGATTTTCTATGGGGTTGAGATCTGGAGACTGGCTAGGCCACTCCAGGACCTTGAAATGCTTCTTACTAAGCCACTCCTTCGTTGCCCGGGCGGTGTGTTTGGGATCATTGTCATGCTGAAAGTCCCAGCCACGTTTCATCTTCAATGCCCTTGCTGATGGAAAGTTTTCACTCAAAATCTCACGATACATGGCCCCATTCATTCTTTCCTTTACACGGATCAGTCGTCCTGGTCCCTTTGCAGAAAAACAGCCCCAAAGCATGATGTTTCCACCCCCATGCTTCACAGTAGGTATGGTGTTCTTTGGATGCAACTCAGCATTCTTTGTCCTCCAAACACGACGAGTTGAGTTTTTACCAAAAAGTTATATTTTGGTTTCATCTGACCATATGACATTCTCCCAATCCTCTTCTGGATCATCGAAATGCACTCTAGCAAACTTCAGACGGGCCTGGACATGTACTGGCTTAAGCAGGGGGACACGTCTGGCACTGCAGGATTTGAGTCCCTGGCGGCGTAGTGTGTTACTGATGGTAGGCTTTGTTACTTTGGTCCCAGCTCTCTGCAGGTCATTCACTAGGTCCCCCTGTGTGGTTCTGGGATTTTTGCTCACTGTTCTTGTGATCATTTTGACCCCACGGGGTGAGATCTTAAGTGGAGCCCCAGATCGAGGGAGATTATCAGTGGTCTTGTATGTCTTCCATTTCCTAATAATTGCTCCCACAGTTGATTTCTTCAAACCAAGCTGCTTACCTATTGCAGATTCAGTCTTCCCAGCCTGGTGCAGGTCTACAATTTTGTTTCTGGTGTCCTTTGACAGCTCTTTGGTCTTGGCCATAGTGGAGTTTGGAGTGTGACTGTTTGAGGTTGTGGACAGGTGTCTTTTATACTGATAACAAGTTCAAACAGGTGCCATTAATACAGGTAACGAGTGGAGGACAGAGTAGCCTCTTAAAGAAGAAGTTACAGGTCTGTGAGAGCCAGAAATCTTGCTTGTTTGTAGGTGACCAAATACTTATTTTCCACCAAATTTGCAAATAAATTCATAAAAAATCCTACAATGTGATTTTCTGGATTTTTTTCCCCAATTTGTCTGTCATAGTTGACGTGTACCTGTGATGAAAATTACAGGCCTCTCTCATCTTTTTAAGTGGGAGAACTTGCACAATTGGTGGCTGACTAAATACTTTTTTTCCCCACTTTATAGACTACTCCCTTGTGCGCATTGTTGCGCTTTTAATGTGAAGAAATAGCCTAATAGTTTATCAACATTTTAAGCTAAACGTTCTGATCTGTTGCGTCAGCCTCATTGCGTAAATAATATATTGGGGATGCTAGAGGTTGTATTAATTTGGGATCTATCGCATCCCACAACTGTCCCAGACTATGTAATATTTATTTCTCGCACAGAATAGGTCAAATTTTGTACAATGGGGGATAGCTATTGCTGTTCGTTAGGCCTACTCATCTTGTTGGCTGACGAAAAGTAAATGTGGACAGTTCTTCCAATATCTTCAATATGCACATCGGAACTGGATAAGGACGCGTGCAGTTGCGTTCCCGATGTGTCTGTCTTCACTTGTAGCCTGTGAGAAAGACCCGATCATGTGATGGAGAGCCATGTGAGTGAGAGGTGCTTCGGAGCATGCAGCACTCAGGGAGAAGGGCACAACGGCCACTGGCCGCAAATGGCATGGATTTTTTTAGGGGGCATTACGGCCACACAAAAGGGATGCCGCCGGGAAATGCGAGGCCTTATCAAGTGCTTGTCAAATTGTGAATGAGAGACTGATGAAGTGTGTACAGACTGGGCAAAAAAAACAAAGCAGAGCTCATGCCTTTCAAGCAATTTTTTTCAAATCATCATTGGCGTCGCATCATGCAGCCTTACAATGTATTAAAAATCAAAACATATAGCCCAACGTTTGTAGAACAACTAAAGTTACATTGATAACTCTAAATGAAGCATATAGCAGTACCTATTTATTTGTTAACTGCTCAACACTCCCTCAAATCGTTTGGAGAAAATATCCTTTCTATTTTATTCAGCTTTGTTCAATTGTATTCTTCATACTATAAAATAATATAAAATAATGCCACGGAATTCAAAGCAAATCTTGTCTGCTAAATGAACTAGTGCACCCCACAGCCATATGGCATAGCCAGATCAGGACAACTCAGAGTATGCTATTCTGTTCTTCTGAAATATGATGTTTCTTTAGCCCTGTCTAAAATAAATAATGGATTTATTGTGATGGTATAAGCTATATTACATGGATTTATTATATTTGTTTAATGTAGATGTTGCAATGGTCTGCATCAGTGGCTTGTAGGCTATGTGTGGAAGCAAGGAGATGCTACATGTGTTTATGTTAATTAACGGTCAATTACTGTGAGACCTGCAGTTATTTACTTGACAATCACCAGCTGACAAAATGTTGTGACCGCCACAGCCCTACTGCAAGGATAACGGTAGAGGAGGGTTGAGGAAGAGGGGTTATCTGTGAAGTCAGAACACAGCAGTCTTTTTTCATGTCAAATGTATCTCAAAGTTCTCCTTTTCCTTTGGGGTCTTTTTTAGGTTGCATTGCATTTCTGGTCTTCCGCTAGTCCTGACGAAGCAAAAAAAGCGGAACATTCAGCAGTTTTGGCAGCTGAGGTTATTTGCACATCAATCTATTCAATCTTTCATTAAGAAATGTGCAGTTGAAGTCGGAAGTTTACATACACTAAGTTGACTGTGCCTTTAAACAGCTTGGAAATTTCCAGAAAATGATGTCATGGCTTTAGAAGCTTCTGATAGGCTAATTGACATCATTTGAGTCAATTGGAGGTGTACCTGTGGATGTATTTCAAGGCCTACCTTCCAACTCAGTGCCTCTTTGCTTGACATCAAGGGAAAATCAAAATAAATCAGCCAAGACCTCAGAAAATAAATTGTAGACCTCCACAAGTCTGTTTCATCCTTGGGAGCAATTTCCAAACCCCTGAAAGTACCACGTTCATCTGTACAAACAATAGTACGCAAGTATAAAACGCCATGGGACCACGCAGCCGTCATACAGCTCAGGAAGGAGACGTGTTCCGGCTACTAGAGATGAACGTACTTTGGTGCGAAAAGTGCAAATCAATCCCAGAACAACTGCAAAGGACCTTGTGAAGATGCTGGAGGAAACAGGTACTAAAGTATCTATATCCACTGTAAAACGAGTCCTATATCGAAATAACCTGAAAGGCCGCTCAGCAAGGAAGAAGCCACTGCTCCAAAACTGCCATAAAAAATCCAGACTATGGTTTGCAACTGCACATGGGGACAAAGATCGTACTTTTTGGAGAAATGTCCTCTGGTCTGATGAAACAAACATAGAACTGTTTGGCCATAATGACCATAGTTATGTTTGGAGGAAAGAGGGGGTTGCTTGCAAGCCGAAGAACACCATCCCAACCGTGAAGCACAGGGGTGGCAGCATCATGCTGTGGGGTGCTTTTCTGCAGGAGGGACTGGTGCACTTCACAAAATAGATGGCATCATGAGGAAGGAAAATTATGTGGATATATTGAAGCAATATCTCAAGACATCAGTCAGGAAGTTAAATATTGGTCGCAAATGGGTCTTCCAAATGGACAATGACTCCAAGCATACTTCCAAAGTTGTGGCAAAATGGCTTAAGGACAACAAAGTCAAGGTATTGGAGTGGCCATCAATGACCTCAATCCTATAGAAAATGTGTGGGCAGAACTGAAAAAGCTTGTGCGAGCAAGGAGGCCTACAAACCTGACTCAGTTGCACAACTCTGTCAGGAGGAATGGGCCAAAATTCACCCAACTTATTGTGGGAAGCTTGTGGAAGGCTACCCGAAACGTTTGACCCAAGTTAAAACAATTTAAAGGCAATGCTACCAAATACTAATTGAGTGTATGTAAATTTCTGACCCACTGGGAATGTGATGAAATAAATAAAAGCTGAAATACACTGCTCAAAAAGATAAAGGGAACACTAAAATAACACATCCTAGATCTGAATGAATGAAATAATCTTATTAAATACTTTTTTCTTTACATAGTTGAATGTGCTGACAACAAAATCACACCAAAATTATCAATTGAAATCAAATTTATCAACCCATGGAGGTCTGGATTTGGAGTCACCCTCAAAATTAAAGTGGAAAACCACACTACAGGCTGATCCAACTTTGATGTAATGTCCTGGCCTCCACGTGCCTGTATGACCTCCCTACAACGCCTGGGCATGCTCCTGATGAGGTGGCGGATGGTCTCCTGAGGGATCTCCTCCCAGACCTGGACTAAAGCATCCGCCAACTCCTGGACAGTCTGTGGTGGAACGTGGCGTTGGTGGATGGAGCGAGACATGATGTCCCAGATGTGCTCAATTGGATTCAGGTCTGGGGAACGGGCGGGCCAGTCCATAGCATCAATGCCTTCCTCTTGCAGGAACTGCTGACACACTCCAGCCACATGAGGTCTAGCATTAGGAGGAACCCAGGGCCAACCGCACCAGCATATGGTCTCACAAGGGGTCTGAGGATCTCATCTCGGTACCTAATGGCAGTCAGGCTACCTCTGGCGAGCACATGGAGGGCTGTGCGGCCCCCCAAAGAAATGCCACCCCACACCATGACTGACCCACCGCCAAACCAGTCATGCTGGAGGATGTTGCAGGCAGCAGAACGTTCTCCACGGCGTCTCCAGACTCTGTCACGTCTGTCACGTGCTCAGTGTGAACCTGCTTTCATCTGTGAAGAGCACAGGGCGCCAGTGGCGAATTTGCCAATCTTGGTGTTCTCTGGCAAATGCCAAACGTCCTGCAAGCGCAACCCCCACCTGTGGACGTCGGGCCCTCATACCACCCTCATGGAGTCTGTTTCTGACCGTTTGAGCAGACACATGCACATTTGTGGCCTGCTGGAGGTCATTTTGCAGGGCTCTGGCAGTGCTCCTCCTGCTCCTCCTTGCACAAAGGCAGAGGTAGCAGTCCTGCTGCTGGGTTGTTGCCCTCCTACGGCCTCCTCCACGTCTCCTGATGTACTGGCCTGTCTCCTGGTAGCGCCTCCATGCTCTGGACACTACGCTGACAGACACAGCAAACCTTCTTGCCACAGCTCGCATTGATGTGCCATCCTGGATGAGCTGCACTACCTGAGCCACTTGTGTGGGTTGTAGACTCCGTCTCATGCTACCACTAGAGTGAAAGCACCGCCAGCATTCAAAAGTGATCAAAACATCAGCCAGGAAGCATAGGAACTGAGAAGTGGTCTGTGGTCACCACCTGCAAAACCAGTCTTTTATCGGGGGTGTCTTGCTAATTGCCTATAATTTCCACCTGTTGTCTATTCCATTTGCACAACAGCATGTGAAATGTATTGTCAATCAGTGTTGCTTCCTAAGTGGACAGTTTGATTTCACAGAAGTGTGATTGACTTGGAGTTACATTGTGTTGTGTTACATTGTTCCCTTAATTTTTTTGAGCAGTGTATATCATTCTCTCTACTATTATTCTAACATTTCACATTCTTAAAATAAAGTGGTGATCCTAACTGACCTAAGACAGGGAATTTGTACTAGGATTAAATGTCAGGAATTGTGAAAAACTGAGTTTAAATGTATTTGGCTAAGTTGTATGTAAACTTTTCTCTCTAGATTCTCTCAATTGGCATAAGAATGAGGTGAGTTAAAGTCATGGACAGTTTTGACAGGTGGACCTAAAGACAGTAAAAGAATAGAGAGGAAATGTGCTGTGTATTGTTAACCCAGATGTTCACATGCTCTCTGACCCAAAAAAGTCAGACAGACACAAACCACTTCAGCGTGGACGGAATATGAAAGCAGAAGTGGGGAAGTCTTCCAAACAATGGTGCCTCACGTTGCCTTCTCTCTCACACTTCTCCCCCAACCTACAGTCTGTCACCCCTCTCATAGAAAGAGAACTGAGCAATTCGACCATGAATGCCTGATTTCACACTGTCTTCTCTGAATAGTTGATGTTGAGATGTGTCTGTGACTTGACTTGCACATTTTCCACATTATTTTAATTTTTTTGGGTAGGTACAAAACCAACCTCATACTTCCATTATTTTTTTTTAAACTGATACCGGTTACCTTCAGACGGGCAAAATGGAGAACACCACCACCAACACTACATACATTTTCGTGAGAAGACCGATTTTCGTGATACCTCATGGTCTGACAGACACCGCTCTAGCTCTGCCACCTTTCACCGCAGATGCGGAAGTGCGACACTGGCGGATGCGGTGGATTGAGACGCATCCAACGCCAAAAAACAGATATCTCTAGTTTAAACTGACACATTTTGATGGGGATTTCTTCATGTAACTTATATTGAAGCACAGGTGCATCAATTGACTCTAGGGGGTTACAAACAAACCCAAACAACAAAACCTTGCTTATTCAACCCCTGGCCTGTGCTGCAGCTAGCAAAGATAACCGTGAGAAATAAAAGTTGAGGCGAACATACACTACATGACCAAAAGTATGTGGACATCTGCTCGTCGAACATCTCATTCCAAAATCATGGCATTATTATAGAGTTGGTGCCCCCTTTGCTGCTAGAAAAGCCTCCACTCTTCTGGGAAGACTTTCCACCAGATGTTGGAACATTGCTGCGGGGACTTGCTTCCATTCAGCCACAAGAGGATTAATGAGGTCGGGCACTGATGTTGGGCGATTAGGCCTGGCTCGCAGTCTGCGTTCCAATTAATCCCAAAGGTGTTCCATGGAGTTGAGGTCAGGGCTCTGTGCAGGCCAGTCAAGTTCTTCCACATCGATCTCAACAAACCATTTCTGTATGGACCTCGCTTTGTGCATGGGGGTATTGTCATGCTGAAACAGGAAAGGGCCTTTCCCAAACTGTTGCCACAAAGTTGAAAGCACAGAATCGTCTAGAATGTCATTGTATGCTGTAACCTTAAGATTTCCCTTCACTGGAACTATGGGGCCTAGCCTGAACCATGAAAAACAGCCAGAGAGCATAATTCCTCCACCAAACTTTACAGTTGGCACTATGCATTCGGCCAGGTAGCAATCTCCTGGCATCCACCAAACCCAGATTAGTCCGTCGGACTGCCAGATGGTGAAGCGTGATTCATCACTCCAGAGAACGCGTTTCCACTGCTCCAGAGTCCAATGGCGGCGAGCTTTACACCAGTCCAGCCGAAGCTTTGCGTTGCACATGGTGATCTTAGGCTTGTGTGCGGCTGCTCGGCTATGGAAACCCATTTAATGAAGCTCCCGACAAACAGTTATTGTGCTGACGTTGCTTCCAGATGCAGTTCGTAACTCGGTAGTGAGTGTTGCAACCAAGGACAGACGGTTTGTACGTGCTACGCCCTTCAGCACTCGCCGGTCCCGTTCTGTGAGCTTGTGTGGCCTACCACTTCGTGGCTGAGCCATTGTTGCTCCTAGACATTTCCACGTCACAATAACAGCACTTACAGTTGACCGGAGCAGCTCTAGCAGGGCAGAAATTTTACGAACTGACTTGTTGGAAAGGTGGCATCCTATGACGGTGCCACGTTGAAAGTCACTGAGCTCTTCAGTAAGGCCATTATACTGCCAATGTTTGTCTATGGAGATTGCATGGCGGTGTGCTCAATTTTATAC